TACTTAGATGGGCTGTGGGTTAGCTAACGAGTTAAGTAAGTTAAGATGATTAGAAAATGGAGTTATAAAAATTAGCTAACCACTTAACTTACAAGCCAGAACCACAATGCAACATAGGAAAATTCGTCACATGTAGCTGCTTTCATGTCAGTAATGGGAAGATATAGGTAGGAATTTTCATATGCTTATTTCGTCTGGACCAGACAGTCGATGACTTGGGAATAGAAAAATGTAAACTATTTCTATAGGATTTTGAGAAAAGGTGAAACAAAATCAGTTTCGAAATCCTTCATTTCCTGGCTTAAATTCATGTGCAGCAGCATTGTCCAATCATGCAGCATGAAGCAAGGGTATACTGAGCAATGAGGATGAAGACATAGCAAGTTTGAAGCCCTGCAAGATGCAGGGCTAATCATGCAAGCAGCTTTTGTTCGTCATGCAGCTGCTGTTTCATGCATGTCAGCATGAACATAAAGATAGCATGCATGCAGCATTGGCCGCAGGACCATGCTTAGCAAGAAGTATAGCCGACCTTGCAGGAGGCTTCATGGACCGCTTGCAGAGTGAGACAGATAGTCGTTTTGCTTCTTTTTTTTGGGGGCTCCGAGGAGCAGCTGCTCAGGGACGAAGGTGAAACGGGATCAAAGTTCGGACACCGTTCGTGTCTTTCAAATGATATACAGCGATCAAGATGTCGGTGCTGTCGATAATGACGGGCTGTTCCACCTCAGTCCACAAGGCACTGTGGGTCTGCTTCTGGTACTCCTGCAAGCCCCAGAGGGAAACCACGGACCACAACTTACCTTGCACGGACACGTGGCACCAAATCTCGGCACAATCCCAGGGGGCGGCTCGTGCATTGTCTCCTTTGAGCAAACACACGTCTCCTTTGCTCGCCACCCCACCCCCAGGAAGCCGGAGATTCGTAGCCACCGAGAGGTCTTCCTTCGGCACACCCGGGAAGCTCTGCAAAACCAGGTCCCTCAACTTGGCCGGTGTCCTCTTCTTTGGGTTCACCAAAGCGAAGCCAGATGGAAACTCGGCCAGGTTCTCCAAGTGCCACAGCTCGTGAGCAATGACTTCTTCGTAGAGAGACCGTTCAAAGACCTTGGTATTCTGGATGGACCCNNGATGGTCTTGTGCTTCCGTTCCATGCCGAAGGTTGCTGGCAGCCTTTTATGCCTCTCATAGTGGTCCCCCATGTGTAACAGCCAATGCATCTTCCTGGTTACATGCTCCCCCCAGCCCGCTCCAAACCAGGATTCCATGCATTCGTCGGCCGCCTGTCGCAACATGGAAGGAGTCACAGCAGCATGGCCATGACAAGCTGCCTGAAGCAACTCAACCATAAAGCTCATCTGCAAGAAGGCTCGGCATTCGGATGCCAAGAATCCTTTGGCAAGGATACAGGTGCGAACAAAGAAAGCCAGCACCGGGTTCAAGGTGAGCATCTCGCTAGCAGTTGTCTTAAACTTGCCAGCATCTTTACAGGACTTCATCCTCTTGTTCTCGAAGAGTAGCTTGAGCTTGATGTGGGCAAAAGAAGCCGGCAGTGTCCATAGATCCACGTATTTCTCGAGGGTGACAAAAACATCCTTGAAGCCATGCTCCTTCGTGGCAGTGAGAAGTAGCCAAGTCGAATCGCTCAATGTACCATTACTCAAGCAGCAATGCATCCAATCGTGCACGAACATGCTCGCTGGTCGGATCACATTCTTCAGCAAAGGCTCCGAGAAGATACTTTCTGAGCTGTATGTCCACCCTGTGGCTTGCTGCCACAGTCCAAAGTCTTTCTGTGAACACCGGCCGCGCTGGTCAGAGAGCCTCGACCAAGAATCCCAAATATCGTCATCGGACACCAAATGCAAGTCAGCATAGGAATGTTTGGCGATTCGCTCTTCGTTGCGATTGTCTGCTCGCTGATTGCCACAGAGCAAGCAGTACTTAGAACCACTATCCCCCTTGACAGTCCAGACAAACTTGTGAGCAGCCCCGTCTTGAATTATCATGCTTGGCATAAAAGACAAGTGAAATCCTCCATCTGGTCCCTGCATCCAAACACCGATTGTCGGGTCATGTTTTGCATGCAAGAAGATGCTGCGAAAAATAATTTTGAAGATCTGGCTGATGCTTCCTTCCAAGGAGGCCACGAAAGAGCTCCTTAGCAGTGCGATTGTCAGCCATGCCTCCTCCATGGCCAGCACTTGTGGCGGAAAGTCAACACAACTCATATAAACACACCAACTTTTCCGGGAAGTACGTGCCGACAACACGTTTCCGGGGATGACTTCGTCGGAATACAGGGCGAACCGGAGAGGTCGGCCAGCAGTTTTGCTTGCACAGGCCTGGAGCAACTTGTAGAAAGCTCCACCAGAACGGCAAATGCCATCCAGGAGGCTGAAGACGTTCACCAACAAAAACGTGACGATGGCACCTGCAGATGTTTTCGCTTCGTGTTGCTCAAACAACGGGCCGTAGGCCTCCTTCTTCGACAAATAGGAGCGAGTGGCCTCTCGCATTTGTTTTGGATCGGAAAGTTCCGGCAAACCGTGCTCGTGTATATCTTGCAATAGCCCGTGGAGAGCATTCTTAGTGCAATAAGGAGCTGCTCTTCGCAAGGAGTTCAACCTTTGGAGTTTTGCTGGCCTCTCCATGGCCGATGAAGAAGAAGACATGACTGCGAAGTCCTTTGGAACGTAATATACAGGAAGTGTCGAAACTTTTATTTTTCTATGTGCTGGAACAACAAGCAATTCATACAGTAAAATAAAAATATAAGGAGCTAGACAGATTGAGCCTCAAAGTATTCTTTCTGTATGCATGGACGATTCTATACCAAAAACATGAACTGAAGACCGATTTCTTCGTATATGCTGGGCACATATGCTTGAGAAGACAGTATTGCGACTATACTTCTGCTACTACTACTACTATACTGCTTCTGCTTCTTCTACTACTACTACTACCACTACCACTACTACTACTACTACTACCACCACCACTACACTACATGCTGCAGCACTGCAAGGAGTGCTGCATGGCATGTTTGAAAAAAGCACTGCAAGCAGTGCTGCATGGCATGCTTGTACAAGCACTGCAAGCAGTGCTGCATGGCATGTTTCGCAAAGCACTGCAAGCAGTGCTGCAAGGCATGTTTGAAAAAGCACTGGAAGCAGTGCTGCATGGTCACGACTATACTAGATACAACTAATGCAAAGCAATTATGCAAAAGCTCCGGACTATTTTAGCACACTCAACCACTCGAGTCCAGTTTGGAGGCCCTTTTAGGCTTGGCGCTTTCGCCACCTCGCGAAGGACTTGGCAAATCTTCCTCGCCGGGCATAAAAAAGCGCCAACTTCATTGTGTCCTCGAACTGATCCTCCAAGTCCATGTTATACGTGTACCGCACTCCGACCTTCTGCAAGTCGATGCTCAAACCACGTACGAACCACTTACCCCGCCCCTCGTCACCGTCCAACATGTTTGCTGCCCGATTCACGAGATCTGACACTGTGCCCCGTCCGGAAACCATCATGTGCTTGCTTCCGAAGTTGCCACCACGGCTCACTCGAACAGGCACGTACATTGTCCAATCGAAGCTGGGCATGATGAGGGAACAATCCTACAACCAAAAGCTTTGCTCGACACAAAAGAGCTATACACATGAAACTCAGGTCCAGGCCAGCACGAATCGGTTCAAGACACATAAAGAAGTCGTGCAACCAACAAAAACATCATGCATGCAAAGCCCCTCTCGTGAAGGACTGCATGGAATCTGGAACATGAAACCCGAGTAGGTTGGACAACATCGCTATTTTTCTTGCTGCTTCCTGGCCCGTTGCTCTTACAACAGGCTGCGAGGAACACGACTATGTTTGCAAAGATTCTGCACGTGGCAGCTTTTGCTGCTGTTTCAAACAGCTTTTGCTGCTGTGGCAAACCCAGATACCCCACCCCTTGAAAACCCACCCTTTCTCACTTCACAGTCTTCTTGTTGGATGCCTTGGCCTTCGCCTTGGACTTGCCACGGGCCAGCTCCAGCTTTCGCTGCTCAAACCATTCCTTCCATTCCTCCCTCGTCAGTCTCAATCCTCCAAAGCCAGGGTCCTGGCACTGGCTGCAACCAGTCCTGCAGCCTCTGCATCGGATGCAGCCCAGCTTCAAGTTGGGCTCCTTGCCTTTTTTGGCCGCAGGGGGTGCTGCTGCCTGAGCTCTGGCTGCTGGCTTCTTGCATGGCTTGGGATCACATCGCTTCCTTTTTTGGCTGTTTTTCAAACCCTCGAAGACCTCGTCTTCGATTGCCTGCAACTTGCTGGGGGCTCCCGTGGAAGTCTCAGGCTCAGGGGCCTCAGAGGACAAGATCGGAGCAGCAGGCGGGGAGTCTGCAGGCAACACTTCTGGGATGGGGGGAACAGCCGGACTGGAGGATGCAGGAGTCGGCATCATGGCCTCTCGTGTGCATTGCTGGGCCGGGACTCGCAGTGTCGAGTCGGGCTGGGTGCCATGCTGGGGCGAAGCGAGGTTCTGCAGAACCTGCAAACTCTGGGAAGCAGGCAAGGCGGATCCTGAACTGGGAGGGGCGGGAACAAAGCTGGTGCTTGGCACACTGCTGCTTGGCTGCACATGCTGCACCATGGATGGGGATGCTACGGGGACCGGTTGCTGCAAAGCTGACAAGCTGCCATTCTTGGCCAGCTGCAAAGCATGCAACGTGTTGTTGTCGACCTGGCCAACAGTCTGCTGCAGGAACCTCTGCATGAGACTGGCCAAAGCCTCGTCGCCTCCACCCTTCACCTTGTTCTTGTTGGACTTGTCTTGGTTCCAGGACAGCAAGTTGGATGTGCTTCGCACCGGTGTCTCGTGAGCCACTCTGGCTGCAAGACCCGGCAAGTCCCTGGCCTCCGGAGGGTCATCTTCGTCGTAGGCCTGCTCGAGGAAGGCTTGGCCGAGCTCGTGCGGGTGGAGCGGGTAGACCGTGCATCCAGAAGCCTTCTTCTTCACGATCGTGTTCAGGAAAACCTTGTGGAGCTGCTCGGCAAGGTAGTAGACCTGGTCGTAGGTGAGTGCCACCGAACACCGTTGCATTTGAAGATGCACGATGACGGCAGTAGCCCATTTCTTGGTCTCCTCCTTCAACGATGTCAACCCACACCGCTTCAACCGCTCGGACATGATGACTGTGGAGTCCCAGGAACTGCAAGATGCCATTCTGGTCCAATCCTGCTTCGACAGGTAATTGAAGATCTGCACGAGGGTCTGGGGCTTGCTGGTCAACTTTACCTGCGATTGGCTGGCTAGTGTAGGGCAGGCTGCATCATCTAGAGCTTTCAGCAAGGTGTCCTTGCTCATATCTGATAAGCTACAGGCCCCGACGGACTGTACCATAGAGCACAGCTCATCGGCTGTCCATCGGCCGTGGACCAGCCGATCACGAAGCTGGGTTACCAACTTCGGCTGGATGTCTGAAGAAGGTCTCATGGAGACCAACTTCTCGATCGAGCTGAGCTCTGCGATAAAGTCCTTCGCACACCACTGAGCCATCAAAAAAGGAAGCAGGAAACAAAGAAAAACCGGAAGTCTCGAAAGGAAACACAAGCTGCAGAACAAACAGATGTGGGGAAGACCTAGTAGGAAAGTACTAGGACGACGAAGCCGACCAGGAGGACGACTACTACTAGTACTAATACTACTACTAGTACTCGTACTAGGACTATAGGACAA